CGATTGAAAACAATGTTTTTGTTTGAGTTTGGGTTTGACCAATTCACCAAAAAAAAAAAAAAAACTAATTAAGGCATGCGTGTCCGTCAACCTTAAACAATAATCTTTGTCAATTTTATTTTCAGTCTTTATGATGGTCGATACTTGATCTATCCCTTACTGTTACATCCCTGGGCAACGTCAGGCTCTACTGCTAGTTGTAAATATATCACAACTATTGGTATGTGTCAGGTGTGGTTATGATAAGTGTCTACAAAGATTATTTTTTTTGTCATTTGTTGTGTGACCATTTGATGAATGTGAGAATTTTTCAAGGTTAGAACAGAATAACTTTATGTGCAAATGCAGCGGTAATGACAGGAAGAAGTGTTGAAGTTAAATCTGCAAACACTGAACATGATGTTCTTGAATTTTATAAGAGTGGCATTAGTGACTAAAAAAAATCTTTAGAGATCTGAATACAATTATCAGCTTAATTAAAAGTCATGCCCTTAATAGTGGCTTCTGTGAATTCATTTCATGAAATAGAATCAGTTTAAATTGACTTTTAATTTGTAGAGAAGTAAGGTGGCTCTTGTGAGGGCAAGCTTTAAGACAGTTATTAGATTTAAGAATATTGCACTTGAAATATTTGTCTGAAAATAACTAGAATTTAGCTAAATAACTTTGCAATAAAAAAAATTTGTTGTATAACTTGTAATGGAGACTATGACTAATTTTACACTGAAATCTAAAATATAAGCTTTCATGATAAAAAACAATTAAACATTGGAGAATAAAGTAGAAATGAGTCATTTGAAATGATTTTATATGCAGAGGATTTTATTGTAATTTTGTAAGTAATTTTTTTATTGATCCTTTACTATGCTTGAGAAAATATTTCTGTGGATATTTCCTCCTGGAATTGGATAATAATAATAAATTAATTTGGATCCCCAAACTGTTTAACATTGAAACGGAACACGTGAAACATTTTTATTTGAAAGCTGTTGGAGAATTTGCAAACAATGATTTAATATATGTATGTATGCCTAAAAATGAAGTCCAGACTGTACAAATTGCTGGTAGTCTCCATTCTCCTATATGGATGTGAAACCTGGACACTGTTGGCAGAAGCAGAGGGAAGGATCCAAGTGTTTGAGAACAAATGCATGTGAAAGCTCCTTGGCATGTTCTATTGGGAACATAGAACCAATGAGTTTGTGTGGAAAAGGATTGAAAGTTTTGTGGCCTACCAGGAATCTCTTCTCACCACTGTCAAATGGAGAAAAATGGTGTGGTTTAGACATGCTAAAAGGCATGGCAACCTGTACAAGGCCATCATGCAAGGCACCGTTAAAGATGGACGTAGGAGAGGACACCAACACAAAAATTGGTTGGACAATGTCAAACAATGAACAGTCATGACTATACCAGAATTGCTGATGGCTGCTGTTCAGAGACTGTTGTGGAGGAGATTCTGTGTGGCTTCTGAATTTGGATCCCCCCCTCTATGATTACAAAAGTCAAAGGGATGATGATGTATGTGTATAGTAACAGCAAATTGTTGAAAAATATATTTTTACCAATCATTTTAGAGAATTGTTTGAATCAATATTAACCGTTAATCTTTTGATGTTAATGCTGATTTTTGAAAATTATTCATTTTTCTGGAAAAATTATCTTATTTTATATCACTAGAATTTTTTTGCAACATGTTGATGTGTGTTGAAATTGAGTAATTAGTATTGTTGAAGTTATTGTACACTCAATTAGAAAACACCTTAAAATACAACCATGAAGATATTCATTTCTTCTCTGACCCGAGGAAGTGAATTCCTTCAAAAATTATAAAATAAGCAAAAAAAAAAAAAAAATACAGCAATTCTTTTCTGGTATGCCAGTCAACTATTATTGAGGTTTTGCAAATAAATTTCTTCTAAACAAGGAAAATCAATGTTATTTTTTTTCTTAAATAAATTTGTTTTTATCTCATGAATACACCTAAAATTAAATATTAAAAATAATTAAAAGTTTTTAATTTCATTTTGGAAGGAGGCATGATGGAGTAATGGATAGTGGCTTGGATTGAGGAATCTGAGAGTTTTATTGCCATTCAAATTCATTACATTCACTTACGTGCTAATACCCTTGGGAAAGGTATGGATCCTCCTCTTTTTCCACTCAGGTATGGGTAAATAGCAGGACAGATCAGGTTCTATAGCCTTGGATGGCAACTGGTCTACCACAGAAAGAAATGGCAACCTCTTGTGGTGGGGGGGAATTTGCTTAGTCAGTCATATATCAAAAGATACATGATCGCTTAAGTGTGTATTATGCATGGCACATAACTGAGATTTCCAAATCTGCAATTATCACCTGTTCTTTTTTTTTTAGATACACATGTTAAAACTGAAATTAAAAACTATTTTAGTCATTTTAATATAATCTTACGTCTTACTTAAGTGTATTATTTGCCAGATAAAACCATAAAGATATTTGTAAAAAATAAAATGAATTAATTTTTCTTGTTTAGAAGAATTTTATAGACAGAACAGTAAAAACAACTACCGAACACTAGTGGCTAAAAAAGAATAATTTTTACTTTGGATTTTAAAAAAATCACTTGCAGTTTTGAAAATATACAAATTTTAAAACTGAGATTAAAACTTACTTTATTTTTTTTAATATCTAATTTTAGGTGTATTTGCTAGATAGAAACATAATTTTATTTATAGAAAACAAACAATTTTACACAAAAGACTCTCATATCTGAAAATATACACATTTTAAAAGTGAAATTAAGAATCATTTTTCTTGATATCTATTTTAGGCGCATTCCATAAATAAAAAAACAAATTTATTTATAAAAAAAAAAAAAAATCTTCATTCATTTTTCTTGTTTACAACAATTTTATTTTGCGATTGGCATACTGGCTTACTAGAAAACAATTATTACCCTTACAAAAAATCCAACTTCATCAAATTTAACATTAAGATGAAACTGGCAAGTTTGTTTTTTTTTTCATTTTTACTTGCTATTTTGTTAACTTAATTTTACCGCAAAAAGTTTTTTTTTTTAAGTTTTTAAATTTTTTCTTTTTTTTTTTTTGAAAACTGTAATAAATAGATTTCAGACATCATGTTGTATTTCCTTTTTTTTTTTTCTTCTTCATTTCTTTTGTAAACAAATAGATTTCATATTTATTTCCTAAAACTAACTGGTCAAATGTTTTTAACATTTTTGTTCAATCTTTTTCTCTTACAATGGTATAAAGTAGTTAATTTTATTAACATCTGAAAGTCTTTTTCAATACTGTTTCTTTGGATATGGTCACTCAGTAGTGTGATAGCACTAAACTGAATGATTTCAATTTCGTAAAAAATTTCGATGTGGTTTCATGGTGTGAAGATGAAACTGAAAAAAGTCGGTTTTTTGGTTAAACCACCCATCTCTATTATGTTTACACCTCTTGGTAACATTCGGTGATTATTTATTTGTGTACCTGTGTATACAAGCCAGCACACACGTATATGATTGCTTATATTTTATTATTTCATTTTCCTAAACATATATGTGTTACTGCGTAATTTTATACACTTTTGTAAAAATATTAGAGGCTGTAATCAACTCTGAATTGATTAAGCATCTCACCTCACAGGGTCTTCTTTCAGACAAACAATATGACTTTTGCTTCCCAAGGTCAACTGTCAGTGTGTTGATGCTTATTACTGAAAGAGTTTGTCAGGTTTTAGATAAGAACGTTGAAGTTTTGGCTGTTTCTTTAGATGTCTTAAAGGCATTTGACGAAGTTTGGCATGCTGGTTGTCTTCTCAAGTTGAAGATATGGTGTTTCTGACTTTCTTTCTGCCACTCTACTAGATCTTTTTGCATTAATGTGGGTATACTCCAGGACTCTTTTCTTTGACCTACTTTGTCCCTTATTTTCAACAGCAACTGTCTCCTCATCAGTTCCCAACTTGGTATCTATGCTGATGCCAGGACTATTTACTCCTGTTTTAAGAGTAAGTCACATAGGCTATGTAAAATCAAATTGACATCTAATCTTGAAAATGACCTTTAATCTGTTGTTAACTGGGGCAAGAAGTTGCTTTTTAATTTTAATGACTCTAAAATGAAACTGCTCTCTATTAATGATCTTAAAGAACATTTTTTTTTCCTTTCATCAACCTGGTTAATACTAACCTCCAGGAGAGCAACTCACTTGCCGCCTTACTTTTACATTTTCCGCTGACACAAAGTGGAATGATTATATTGAATCAATTATTAAGTCTGCTCCTTGGAAAGTCACTTTACTATGTTGTGCAGGACAATTTTTCTTGATAAAATCTTGCATATTTATAAGTCTACTATTTGTTCATTCATCAAATCTTGCTGCCACATCTGGTCTGTTACTTCTGCTATGTATTTAGAGATTCTTGTCATTGGAAAAACAATACCTCAACAATGTAAATACTTGTGAAACAAAGATGAATGCAAATTTGGGATAGGAAGACATCTTTTAAATTTTCATTTATACAAGGTATTTGTTGATTTTAAGTGTCATACATACTGGATGATGTTTTACTCTTTATGCTGTGATAAAAGAGAAGAAGAAACTTAAGCTATGTAGTAGGCAGACCCAGGGTAGTAGGCAGACCCAGGGTAGTAGGCAGACCCAGGGTAGTAGGCAGACCCAGGGTAGTAGGCAGACCCAGGGTAGTAGGCAGACCCAGGGTAGTAGGCATAAACAAAAACAAATGTACAATATCTAAATCTTTATATCAGATATATTTACAGTAAGTGGTTTTTATCACCATTTTGGTGTAGCTTTGTACAACATAGAATGAAGACCATTTATTTGCTATAAAATATGTCCAGTATGATGCTCGGTATGGCAATATTTGACTACGGTAGGCCTACTAGTATTACTCAGAAGCTTGGGTTATATTATACACAATCTATATGAGAAAATAAAGTTTTTCCTTTCTTTTTTTTTTTTTTTTTTTTTTTCTTGCAGGTGCAAAGAATTCTCAATGCTGGTGGGGCTAAGAAAGACACTTATCTCAGTGAGATGGTGAGCCATGTCATTGCTGATGATGTAGACAATGATGAATACTCAGAAGCCAGAGAACTGTTTGAATTGCCAGTTGTTACTGTAAGTATCAAATCTTTGTTGTTTTGTTGTCAGGAAATGCTTTCTGCATTTTCGTTTTGATTTAAAGTGCAAATTGCATTTTTTTTTTTTTTTTTTTTTTAACCCTAAAAAATCCAAAACAAACTGTTGATAAAATTCATGAATTTTACTTGCTGAGCTGTACACCTGTTGGAAGTGCAGTGTAGTTGGATACGTGAGTCGTTGGTGACCAGTTTTGTCAATATATGAGAACTTTGTAAAATCATACTGATATTAGTTGTGTGACAATTGCTGATAAAGGGAGATTATAAAGACAAATACTATGACTACTACTACTGCTATTCAAGAGAGATATTTCTTTTAATTCTTGTTCATAGTAGAACCTCTTAGTAGTCAGTAAAAAAAATAAACTAACTCTTGCTTTCTCTGTTATGATGGCTATGTATTTTCTATTTAAAAGTTGTCCTGTATATGATGATAAATTACATCCGGCAGCAAGGCCTCTGATCAAGAGATTGGAGGTTTTGAGCAGTTTGGAATTGCCTCTTAATTGCTGCTGTTCCCAAGCCCACACTGACCTGAGGTAGTAGCACCTGTTATGGTCCCAGCTATGGCCAAATAGTTAATCCTCAATCAAAAATCAACAGTACATTTTTATAACAAAATGACCAATCAATGCAACACTAAAAAAATAGAAAAATACATTTTTATAGTAAAATTACCAGCAATACATTTTATGATCTCCAAACCATATATCTAAAAAAAAGCATACCTTACTCTGGAAGTATAAAATTATGTACAAAATATGTATAGTTGGAAGTCTAAAAGTATGTGCTAAATATTTAGATTTTAGTATGAAATAACTGATAGAGGTTGATAGGCCACCAAACAAAATGAACCAACTTAAAAAGTAATCAAATTGAAACTTAAAAGGATTCTGATTATCATATTACAATTCTGCTTGTTTTTTCATTAATAAGTTAGCATGTGTGGCAGCCTGCCATTACCACAAATAAATAATGAACTATTCCATTTTGATTGTGAGGAAAGACAGAAGAAAAAGATATTTCAGAAACACTGTTTGGTTTTAGTGAGAAAAAGGAAGTATACATAATAATAAAGGGAAAATAGAGTGGGGGCAGTAATGCTCTCATGCATTTAATGTCTACATCAGTGAAATGGAAAACCTCATCAATTTTGAATCTTTTTCAATTTGTACATTCTTTAATGACCTGCATTTGTCCTTATGGTTGCTATTGCAATATTCTGTTAAGTTGTTTAGCTTGAATAGCTAACAATGCAATGGGAAATTTCCACAGATATTTTATAATCATGGGACTTAGAATGAACACATTCAGTCATTAAATTAAGAATTAGGATTCATCAGAAAATTCAAATTGGAAAACTGTGAAATTTTGCAGGTAAATGCTAGCTTGTATAAATATAACATTTTGATATTTTTATCTGATTCTTATCAGTGTCTATGTTAAAAGAATCATACCTCACAATAACAATAAATCTCTCCCTCTCCATTCCCCCCCGTCTCTCCCTCTCCCCACCGTCTCTCCCTTTGTTGTATGTTTATAACTTCTTGAGTGAAGTTTCAGGTCTTACAACATGTCTTAATTTGCAAGCGTCAAGTGTCATACGTGATACACGCTTGGGCAATCATGTCTCTTTCAGTTTGACTGAGTAGGAAGAAGATTTGCCCCAGTAGGCTGCTGTTTTTTTTCTGCAGTAGACTGGTTGCCAAACAAGGCCATAGGACCCAGTCTGTCCTGCTATTTAACCCATAGCTGGTGGGAGAAGGGCTGGATTCATACCTTTCTGAAGAGTATTTGTACATAGGTGAAAGTAACTAACCAGACTGGAATTTGAACTCTGCTCAGCTTTGATGTCTCATTCTGAGCCGATATTTATTACAACACACCGTATTAAAAAAACAAAGCAAGCAGAAATTGAATGCTGCCATTTCTGTTGCATCTAGAACATAAAAAATGAAAGCAACCTGATCTTTTTATGCAAATAATTTAGACCAATTATTTGTTCCATATTTAGTGCATTATTTCAATTTGTCTTTTGCTCGGAAAGAAGAATTTTATTAATCAAACATAAAGGTTGTAATTTCATAAGGCCTTACCTAAAATGACAATTGAAAGGAATGTATCATCGTTATTCTCTGAATTATTTGGACTACTATCCTCATTTTTTTTTTTTTTCCTAAAAGCACAAAATTTAGTGATTGTTGGATTTGAATTCTCCAAAAAAGGAAAATGTGTTAATTTACAATTACTTTGTATTGATTGAGGCTTTGTAATAATTTGTACTAAAATGAATGGATTGTTGTTTTTTAAATGGGTAACTTAAAGTTTCCTTGCAATATTTTTATAAATAGCTGTGAATGTAAACATTTGAAATTCTCTCTCTCTCTCCAATAGTTTGAGCATTATTAAAATTCTTTTCTAGCTTCAGCTGAGTAGTTTAAAAAAATATCAGCTCAACCTTCTTGGGGCGGCCATCTCTCCAGGCATTACCTCTCCTTTGGGAGAGAGCTGTGGTCATTACTTTGTGCTTAAGGTGTCTCCAAAAGGGGAGGTGCTAAGGGGGCTTGAGCAATTTTCCATGTTATTGCCATTAAATCCACTTTATATTGATGTGGGTGCACTGAAAAATCCCTTATTAAAATTCCTTTTTTTTTTTTTTTTTTCCAGAGCAGCTGGGTTCTTCTCTCTGTTAAAGCTGAAAGACAGCTTGCGTATCCTTTTCAAAATTGGTGCACGTTGTATACTCTTCATTTTTCATTTACTTTTTCATGTATGCTTTGCCTAAACAGATTTTGGTAAACTAATTGAAATATAGAGAAACAAGTTTTTCTTTGAGATTTCCAATTTTTTTCCCATTTGAAAATGTAATGTTGTCTAACAGTCATAACACCTTGTACACATAACTAATATATATATATATATATCTCCAAGTATATAATTGGTATATACGGAATGAATTCCAATAACCAACAATTACTATTCTTAAAAGAGTGCTCAATACAAAGTAGAGCAGATATAATTATTTTTTATAAAAAAAATTATAACATAGTATGTTATAAAATCACTACAAAAATAGCCATTTTGTTTCAACACACTCTGTGTTTATTTTATTTTATTTTCAACATCACTTAATAAGACACAGAGTGTGTTGAAACAAAATGGCTATTTTTGTAGTGATTTTATAACATACTTATGTTATAATTTTTTTTATAAAATATATATATGATTTAGCTTTAATGTGCCTGTTTTCCTGAAAGAGAAGGCCAAAAAAAAAATTGTCCATAAAGCTGTTTATAATTCATGTTATTGTTTTTTGAGTTGAAGTGGTGAATAAGAGAAAATGCAATATTGTCTTGTGGAGGATGACAACACTATATAAAGTTAATATTACTTTCATTTATTTATTATTAATATTGTTTTTTCAAAGGAACTCAAGTTTCCCTTTTGGCTAATATAGAGCATTCTAGAAAGTGTCCTATAATTCCAACATTATAAACAAAATGTGTCTTTTTATAGGCCATGGTGTATTTAATCGAGGAAGAATAACACCTGAGAGGAAATCTGTTAAAAGGAAGCTTTTGCTGAATAAATAAAATCTTTTGTTTGGGATTTTTTTTTTTTTTTCACAGGAAATTTTGTTTTAAAAACATTGTTTTAAATTTCCTAAATGAAAAGCCAGTTATAGGACATTTCCTGTGTTTCATAGATTGTACAAAAATACTCAATTAAATAAAGCACAAAGAATGTTTTGAGAAGTTACAGAAGCTCGAAAAAGATATACAAAAAATCTGTTTTATTAGGAACAAATAGATTTTATGTGAATAGACAATGAATTAAGTCCAAATTTCTGGGAAGAAGCATTATTATTTACACTGTTTACATTCAGACCTTTGTTGTTGTTGTTATCATAACATTTCGCCCATTGTGCTCTCTGACCTTTATCAGGTGTATATTGATTTGGGTAACATACAAAGAATTCTGAACTGAACCCTTTATTTAATCTATAGGGGTAGACTGTTCTTGTTCCACTGTCCATGTCTACTTATTTTAGTACTTGCTAAATTTACTATTTTTATTGCTTGCTCATTTCTACTAAGTCCAGGTACACACCAGGGATTGAACTCACAATTACTATATCAACAAATTCACAAACCAATGCTTTGATCCATGAGGCTATTTTCCCATAGGACAATTCCCTTTAAAACCTTAAGAATTAAACCAAACCTGCCTGTTGATTAGTGCTTGCCTGCTGCTGCTTCTGTTGAAGATTTGTTGCCATTTATCTTTCTTTAATAGTGGCTCCCATATTGTATTTATTTCTATGCTAGGCCTACTAAGTAGGTCCTGATAGCCTCGCATATGCACTGGTTCTTTTACACTTCTCTCTTCACTGCATTCCAGAGTGGTTGATGACTACCCTTTTCACTCCATACATGATCAGCTATGTCAGATTTCATTGTTTCAACCCTCACTATGGCTTTTCAGTGTTCCTTTTAGCGAGTGGTGTGTTTCACCTTTATATTTTTAGTCACAACTACAAGGAATGGAGTAAACATAGTTTTTTGTCATGTTCTCACCTGTGTTAGGCTTTACACAGCAGAAATATCTCCTTAGAGTGGAGCTGCATCTAAATATTGTCCTGATCTTGTATGTACTGCAGATCTTCTGAATCTCTTCTGATAAAACCTTGGCATAAGGTAGACATATTTATGATTTTTGCCTCGGCATTGAACAATCTCTTTCTCCACACTGTATAGATGGTGGGAATTGAAGTTGAAAGTTGTTTTGTGATATATTGATATTCCCATTCTCTGTATGAGTTATTAGTACATCCAAGAAGGCCAGCTGATTATTATTCTCTTCCATTGTGAACTGGTCGGAAGGTCTTATTGAATTCACATGGTCCAGTAGTATTTGTACAGCCTTCTGGCACAGCCAGAGTATGAAGGTGTCATCTACATATCTCAGCCACACTGTTGGCTTTAGTGGGACCATTCCTAAAGCCATTTCCTTGTATTCCATGTATATGTTCATCATCATTGGTGACAACAGTGAACTCATAACCAAGCCTTCTTCATGTTGCTATATGTCAGAGTATCTAGTTGGAAGAATAATGTCTGTATGCAGGTCAACATTTCCATCAGATTAACTATTGGAATGTTAGTACGGCTTACCGCATCCAAGTTTATTATCCGATTGCTAAGAATGCGAGCACCTTAGATCAATTCCACAAAGTAGAGTTTCTAATGAAAGACAAAGACTTCCTTGTTAGTAGGCCTAGTATAGAAATAAGTATGATATGGGAACTGTTAAAAAAAAAATGCAAATGACAGTAAGTCTTTAACAGAAGCAGCAGCAGTCAAGGACTAATCAGCAGGTAGATTAGGTTTAAGGCTTGGGGTTTGGTTTAGCTCTTAAGGTTTCACCACAGAATTATCCTATGAGATAATAGCCTAGTAGTTTAAAGTATTAGTTTGTGATTTGGTGACAGTAGTTTTGAGTTCAGTCCCTGGTTTGAGCAGTGCGTACCTGGATTCAGTGGAAATGGGTGAGCAATAACTGATCAGTACTGAAAATAAGGATTAGATGAGATATCCCTAGACATAAGCAGTGGAACAAGAACAGTCTACCCCTGTAGATTAAATAAAGGGTTCAGTTCAGAATTGTAGATTACCCAGATCGATATACATCTGATGAAGGCTAAAGGACACAATGGGTGAAAAGTTGTGATAACAACAACAAAGATGAGGACAATAGTCTAAATGTAAATAGTGTAAATAATGAATTAAGTGTGTATACCAAAATAGAAACAAGAGTATAAGAAAAATGTCTTTTCTCATTCAAATTAATCTGTACAGTGAAAAAATTCTAAGATAATTTTATAACCTGTAAGAATTCATTTCTGTGTATTTAGACTTATCAACATATGCTATACAACTGATAGGAGATTCTGACGGACAACTGAAAGGACTATTTGTCAATGAAGACAAGTTAAAAAAATGAAAAACTGACTCTATTGTAAGAAGACCATGCATAGTGGTAAGCAAAATGGTCAGCCCACACTGAGAGTTACAGGGTGTGATGGGTAAATTGTTGCCATTTTATAACTTGAATTTTGCACATGTGCATTGTTTGTTTTTGATTTTATCACCTGCATAGTATAGTAGGGTCAGTTGGGCACCATCTGTGAGAAAAAGAGCATCATGATGCAATTCATTCAACCAGATATTTGGAAACTGTATACTGTACTGCTTGGTATTCACATCGGAAGCTCAAATACGAACATTTCAGTGTGTTTGAGTGTCAATCTGAAGACAGTGCAGAGGATTTGGAAAGAGTTGGATGAGTCTAATGGTGATTATGAAGGTGCTTGTAGTGGTCACTAGGGATGGCAACATCATGCCTCCATTCATCTTCCCACAGACTCACAGTCTCAACATGGAGGCTTACATCAAGTGCCTTGAGGAGGTAATGCTCACCTAGATGAAGAGGGTGGCTGCTAGAAGACCCTATGTATGGCAACAGGACTTTGCACCATGCCACACAAGCAGGAGAACCCATTCATGGCTGTCAGACAATTTCAGCGACCACATCTTCCCTTACATCTAGACACCTAACTCTCCAGACGGCAACCTCCTTGATTATTATATGTGGGGCGCATTTGAGCAAGAGACCAACAAAACCCCTTGTAACACCAAAACTGAAAAAATAATCAATTGAAGGCAAGGATTACATGGAGACCGTCTAGAAGAGTTGCAGGAGATTCTGAAGTTGTCTGGAGGCTGTGGTTGAAGCCAATGGTGTTTTTTTTTTTGTTTTTTTTTAAATAAATTGACTTTTTAATATTTCAAGATATGTTTGTGTAATTTTGGTAAAAGGCGACAATTTATCCATCGCACTCTGTGTAGAAATTCCACTATCTAGGGAGTTTAATAACAAACAGAAAGTGAGGCACAAATGCATTTCAGAAACTGATCAAGGTATTAAAGAAAATCTCCTTAGAAACAAAGAAAAAAATGTTGGATTGCTATGTAATTTTTGCTCCCCTATGGCAGACAATTTTGTCACAAATGAAAAATGACTTAAGGCAACTAAGATGTAGTTCAATCAGTAAATGTTGAGAATACAATGGACAGATCATATGACAAATGGGATATTCTAGGGAGATTAAGAACTTCTAAGTGGCAGAGGAAAGAAGGCTTGGAGAATTTAACCCTCACAAAACACATCAAGGATAAGAGAAGTGGAAGAAAGCCGTGAATAAGCTATTTGAAAATGTTAATCGAATGGTTGGAGGTACAATTACCATAAATAAAAGAGGGGGGTCCTAAAGGGAAATGCATTGCTGAGAGTAACAAAAGCCAGAAAGTTGTGGAGAGCTGTAATTGTCATGTAATGAAGGGTCATGGCGTCACATTGATAGGTGTTTCCACTTAAGTAATTTTGTAAAGAAAAATACATGATCTTAAAAAAACTACTTCTATTGTGCATTAGTAAATTTCCTGTTAAAATTTAAAAATACAAAATTTTTATGTTAATGCTAGAAGTTCACTTTCATTAATTACAAGTCAGCATCTTAACAATTTTTTTTTTTTTTTTAAATCAATTTACCCCAAGCAAGGTGATAATGTTACTAAGGCACTGTAGGTAACTCCACTAATTTGTGATACCTAAGGTTAAAAAAATAATTTTAAAAATTAAAAAAAAGCTT